AGAATAATGGCATAAATTGGACAATCTGCTCACCTTCAGCTCCCGACTTCAGGAGGCACTGATCTGAGGACCATCTGTGAAAGCCTTGTATCTATCTATCAGGATCCTCCAGGGGTTTCTCATTCATACATACAGCCACTGAGTCCATAAATATTTAGTGATGCCTATCTTGCTAGGTGCTGAGAGTACAGTGGCAAGACACAGTCTTGCCCTCATGGAACTAATGCCTTGTGCGAGATGCAGAAACCAATCAAACCCATCATAAAATCACCCCTTTCACAAGGCCAAGCTCAAGTTACTATGAATGTCTACAAAAGGGGGAAGTCGGAGAAAGCTCATTAGATGATGAAAATGAGCTGAGATCGAGAGGAAGAGTTAATTGCTAGTAAAAGAGAACATGGCAATGGCAAACATTCTAAACAGAGAACAGAACACACAGATGTCCTATAGTGTGTGGCGGTCTGCAGAGGACCAGGGATTAAAAGGGGGAGGAGACAGTGAATAAAGAATGAGACCGCCATATTAGATTTAGTCTGTTATAAAGACAATGGGAAACCATTGATGGGTTTTTTAAAAGGAGGAGAACTGATCAGATTTATTCTCATCTTGACCTGCCAAAACACTAAGAACAGATGTATGAGCTCAATTTCAGTAGCCAGGCAAGTTAGAAAACCTTTCACCTCTAGAGATGCTGAGATTTCCAAAGAGCGTATGACACTCAGGGCAAGCAGCAGTGTCCTGGGCTGGTGGTATCAGTGAAAAATCCTAATACTGACCATGCTTCTTGGGTCTGAATGAGGTGGGGCCATTCCATAAACACCACAAGGCCACTTCTGGCCTGGCACTGCTGGGAAGGACCCCACACAACCTTTAGTGTTCTCTACTCTCTGATCTGTCTGGCCAAGATCAAGGAGGAGGGGGCTGGAGTCCCAGCAATGAAACCACGAAGACAGTCAGGGGACCAAGGGAAACTTGAGTGTCCTGGATGCTGTTGGACCCTGCCCAGCTCCCCTCCATGCTGGCCAACGCACCCATCCCCTGAGTGTTGTGTGTGATGGCTGTTAATGGCTCACAGTTACCCCCATGTCCAGATAACTCCCCTCAACTGCACAGAAGCCTCCTCACCTGGGAGGTTACTCTACCTTCCCACCTCCATCCCCAGTAGCCTACAGCAGTGACTGACTATATTAGTCAGCTCAGGCTGTCATAATAGAATACCACAGATTGGGTGGCTTAAATAACAGACATTTATTTCTTTACAGTTCTGGAGGCTGGGAAGTCCAAGACTGAGGTACCAGCAGCTTCAATTCCTGGTAAGGACTCACTTCCTGGCTTGCAGATGGTCACCTTCTTGCTGTGTCCTGCCTTTGGTGGAGACAGAATGATCTCTCTTTCTCCGTCCTCTTAGAAATCCACAAATCCCATTATGAGGGCCCCACCCTCACGACCTCATCTAACCCTAATTATCACCCAAAGGTCCCATAGCTCCAAATACTATCACACTGGGAGTGGGATTTTAAGACACAAATTTGGGGGAGACACAGTCATCCCATCGCACTGACTGACCTGGAACACGACAGACCAGCCCCCTCGCCTCAAGGTGGGACTGACTCTGTGCTACAGTGTTTAGTGGAAAATTCCGCCAGATACCAGGCTGAAGAAGACTTCGGCGGAGACCACACCCTCCCTGAGCTTTTTCCCTGTCCGAGGAAGGAAACATGGTTCCTTCACTTCTCTTTTCCCATGAGCAGCCCAATAAATCACTGGAGCAAAATCCCCATCTTGGCTCTATTTTTAGAGAACGTGGCCACAGCATCAGGGCTGTCTTCTACCGTCAATCAATCAACAAGCCCGTGCTGAGTACAGACTGTGCCCAGCATGGTGTATGGGCAATTGCAGGGTATTGTGACACGGGGCCAGAGGCCCAGGTGCTCATCCCTGCTCTGCATGTGACACTGGTCAGGGTATTCAGCCTTGCTGAGACTTCATTTTTCCTTCCAAAGATGGTACCAACACAGCCTTCCTTGGATGGTCCAATATCAAAGCACTTGGAAAAGCACACAGTGCTATTAAACTTCTTTATAGATTCGCCTGTCCTGAACATCCCAAAGAAATGAAATCCTACAATATGCCAGAGTCTCTCCATGTTTGCCAGGCTGGTCTTGAACTCCTAGCCTCAAGCAATCCTTCTGTCTTGGCCTCCCAAAGTGCTGGGATTACAGGTGTGAGGCACCACACCTGGCTTGTTTGTTTGTTTGTTTTTCTTGTTTCTGTTTTTGTTTTATGAGATGGAGTCTCACTCTGTCACCCAGGCTGGAGTGCAGTGGTGCAATCTTAGCTCACTGCAACCTCCGCCTCCTGGGCTCAAGTGATCAGGAGCTCCTGCCTCAGCCTCACGAGTAGCTGGGATTACAGGCATGCACCACCACACCTGGCTAATTTTTTGTATTTTTAGTAGAGATGTGGTTTCCACATGTTGCCCAGGCTGACTCCTGAGTTCAAGTGATCCACCCACCTTGGTCTTCCAAAATGCTGGGGTTACAGCGAGCCACTGTGCCTCGCCTATTGCTTTTTTTCTTTTTCTTTTTTCTTTTCTTTTCTTTTCTTTTCTTTTTAAGTCTTGTGTTAAGCCATCCAGTCTGTGGTATTTTGTTATGGCAGCCATAGCAAATGGATACACCTCCTACCAGTGTGTCCTGAGAATCAGGGGCTTGTGATCCAGGCTCTCGAAGGTCACAGCATATCTATGATTAAGGGGGAAGACTTTGACCTTGAACTTGAAGAACTATTGTACTATACCACATCAGAACAAAGACTCCCTAAGGAATGCCCATAAGAGGTGCCCTACCCAAACCACAAAAGGAATAAATATGGTAGAGGGCATAGAGAATAAATATGGTGGAGGGCAGAGAGAATAAATATGGTGGAGGGCATAGAGAATAAATACGGTGGAGGGCATAGAGAAGCGAAACTAAACTAAAAAGGAACCTAGTCTATAGTACTTTTGAGTGAAACAGACCTAGGTGAGGAAGTGTGTTTTCTGATGGATAGAATGATAATAACTTACCTCATTTGAGTTGTTGAAAAAACATCAATCAGATACTGCCTCTAAGTGCTTTTCACAATGATTAACACATTTTTAAAACTCAACACATGTCAGCTATTGTTTTATTATTACCGCGAATGGTGTGAGCTCTTGGAGTATAACTTCTCTGAGCCATGGCTTCTTTGTTCATAAAACAAGAGCAATAGAAGATCGGGTGCAGTGACTCACAGCTATAATCCCAGCACTTTGGGAGGCCGAGGTAGGCTGATCACTTGAGGTCAGGAGTTCTAGACTAGCCTGGCCAACATGGTGAAACCCCGTCTCTACTAAAAATACAAATATTAGCCAGGAGTGGTGGTGTGCGCCTGTAATCCCATCTACTCAGGAGGCTGAGGCAGGAGAATCGCTTGAACCTGGGAGGTGGAGGTTCCAGTGAGCAGAGTATTTGGCAGGAGGCGGCTGTGGTAGGCACCACTGCACTCCGGCCTGGGCGACAGATGGAGTCTCCATCTCAAACAAAAATAATAGAGATTTTGCAATGTTGTGAAGATGGAAAAAAATAACATGTAAGGTTTAGAGCCCCGCACATTCCATGTGATCCATAAATGTTGCGGCCTTCAGTCATGCTTTGGAATGAGTGTAGTTCCCAGAGAATGACACCAGAGGGAAGCAGAGTCTTATTTTTGTCTCACCAGCATCGGGACCCTTAGACAATCGGTGGGGAAAACTGGCTTCTCTTGAACCTGCAACTGCAGGATTTCCCCTGGGGGCCCCCAAGCATCCCACTGGGAAGCAGGCAACCACTTGGAGAAAAACATAATGATGCAATGGATTGCACATTTTCTAAAATCTCACTGGGCTTCACAAAATCTCAAGTTTAAAAGAATGATATTGTACAGGGATAAGTATTTTTCAGCTTTCACAGTTTACGTAAAGCCCCTCCCCAACCCAGGGCCCAGCACATCAGAGCTACTGAACCAGTCTGAGGCCTCAGAAACAGACGCATTTTTGCAAAATTAATCTCTTCCACGATCAATTTCCTGAGTTACTAATTCATAAACCCTTGCTTATATTCATTAGATATATAAAGTCAATAGCAGTTTGTCACCAGCCTTCGAGAAGAAATTTCTGCGAAGTTTTAGCTCCACTCCCAGCCGGCTCAGTGCCGGTTACACCGGGGCTTATGGCTGAGTATTCCTCAAGCCAGTGCAGCTGAGTTCCAATTTTGCTTGAACTTCTCACATCAGAGCCAAGTATATCTTGAATGCTGGGATAAATGAGTGACAGCCCCGCCCCCGCCCCCCACCCCCCGCCACCAGCCCCTCCTCTCACTGCATCTCCCAGCAGATTGTACCATCCTGCTTTCTAATTATCATGAAATATTTTAGACATGCAGAAAGTATAGTGAATAATAAAATTACAGCAGAGCCACCGTCAGGTTCAAGAAATACATCTTTCAAATGTGTGGAAAGTCCCTGAATTGCACCCTCCAACCCCCTCCTTCCCAAGATATTATATTCTCCAAATTTGCTGTTTATCATCAAGACTCCATATTTCCTGCTGGAAAAGCTTGGGGAAGAAGCAAGCTTCCGTTCTCTGCTACCTGAGTGAAGGAAACGCAACTACCCACTCCAAAAGATAACTGTAAAAAACAGTGGGAAATGAGGAGAGCAGGGAAGTGGAGGATCCTGGAAGTTAGAAGTCCAAGGAACTCAGACATCTCCTCTCTGAACCCAACCTAGCCTGGGGTGCTGAAGGACGTAGCTTTAAGAGTGTACAGTTTCTAAAGACCCCCCTGCTGCCGTGAGGGGCTGCCGTGGGCAGGGCAGGGGACAGAAGCAGTGCCACATCCCCTCCCCAGTCCCTGGACTGCCCCACCCCTCCACCTTCCTCCCCTCCTCAATCACACAGGTCAAGCAAGGTCAGGAACCAGTGGAGCCCCAGGGTCACCTACCGAGGACGATGAGAACATCCCTGTCAATGTGGGCCTGGATGTAGATGCGGCCGCGGCGCTCCGTGTGGTCCGTGCCACAGAGGCTGGGGACGTTCATCACGCAGCGCTTGTGCACGTTCATCATGCAGGCTGTGAGGGCAGAGAGAGGGGATGCTGCTTAGGCTGGCCCAGGCTGGGGGCTGCAGACATCTGCCCCACCCAGGACCACTGAGTCCTTCCTGTTCCCCTCCTTTGAGGCAGCTGAGAAATCACCAGCCTGGTTGAGACCAACTTGCCTGCCAAGATCTCATCAGAAGGGCTTCTCCAACTCTTCCCCCTGAACCCTGATGGGTAAAGGAGGTACTTGTCTGTTCCCCACCCAAGGCCAAGGGTGCAGCCTGAAGCAAACACACCCCACACCCCTGAAGGCTCTGAAGCCTGAGTCACCAACTTCAATGCTCACAGGCTGGCTGGCCACATGAGTGAGGAAAGCTAAGGGGATGGTGGCAACTTGGCCAAGTAGGGAACGGGGCAGCAACATTTCCCATTTCTCAGCATATGCAGGAATCTCGATGTGTATGCGACAGCTCTGATTTTAAAATATTGACAGCTAATAGGTTGGGTTCCCTGGAAAGAGTCTGAGATGGGGAGTTTAGGGCACAAGGTTTTTAGGGAGTGCTCTTGGGAAGAGAAGTTAGCTTGCCATGTGGATGCAACCAAAGCTGATGTGAAGGGGAGCCCAGAGCTGAGATGATCCTTCAAAGCTGTTCCAAACTGAGACCAGAGGGCTGGGCACTGCAATCATCCAGTCGCCCTGGAAGGGGCATTACCTTGGGCAATTATGCAGGATGGGGCACCACTATGAACCCACAGCTAGGGGATGGGGTGGGACGCTGAAGAAGGGGTCTGGGCTGACCATAGTGTCCACCACAACTAATTACAAGGAAAAAGATTTAGAGCGAGAGCAGGGTGGATGAAATGTGCCTGTAAGCTGAATTTGGCCTGTAGCCGTCTCTCATGTTATAGGATATCCACTCCCTCTGCGCATTCCTCTGTAGAGTATCTGTCTATTTCAACGTGGTGGGTGACTTCCCCTAGGTCCTGAGCAACAATACCCCGCTCCAGGAAGGTGTGCCAGGAACCCAGGATTCTCCAGGGGGACACTAGTTCCAACTGGAGAAGGCAGGAGAGGTCAAGTCACCCCATGGGCCCCAATTTCAAGGTATCTGGGGGCAAGGGACCCTTCTCAGACCACCCAATTCCCAGGAGGAGGCAGGCCTATTACAAAAACTGGAAATGAGTTGTGGGGAGGGAAGGGAGAGCCCTCTGGGACCCGAGCACCAGGCTGAGCTCCCACCCACCACTGTCTTTGAGGCAGGGGCATTGCCCCTACATTAGGGCCCCATGTGTGGTAAGAGGAGCTGGTGTCCTGCAGGCAGAAGGCTCCAGCTTCACTGTCCCCCTGCGGCTCTCACCATGTTTCTGTGTCTGTCTCACTGTTCCCACATTGCTGCATGTCTCTTGTCTCTGCTGTCCCACTTCTGCACGTGTCTCACTGCCTTGGCCACATTTGTGAATCGGTCTGTTCCACTCTCTGCACTTGCCTCTGGCCTCTTTGTCTCTCCCCTTCTCTGGCTGTGTCTCTCTGCCTCTCTCTCTCTCTCCTCTGTGGCTCTCCGTGTGTGCTTCTGTCTCTGTCTCTGGTCTCTCCATCTCTACACCTCTGCATGAGCCTTGTGTGATGGCATCTCTGTCTGTGTCCATACCAATCGTTTTAGCTTTTTTTCTTCTTCTTTGAGAGTCTAGCTCTGTCACCCAGGCTGGAGTACAGTGGCGTGATCTCGGCTCTCTGCAACCTCCGCTTCCCAGGTTCAAGCGATTCTCCTGCCTCAGCCTCCCGAGTAGCTGGGATTACAGGCGCCCACCATCTCTCCCAGCTAATTTTTGTATTTTTAGTAGAGATGGGGTTTTGCCATGTTGGCCAAGCTGGTCTCGAACTCCTGACCTCAGGTGATCCACCCGCCTCAGCCTCCCAAAGTGTTAGGATTACAGGAGTGAACCATCGCACCTGGCTTATCTGTTGGTCTGTGTGTCTGCCTGTCCCTCCTTTTGCCTGAATCTCTCTCTAGCTGAGTTTCTCTGCAGCTTCCACACCCCACATTCCTCCCTGTGTTAGGGTTGCATGTGTCCATCTTTCCCCTGCATCTGTCTCTGTCTATGCGTGTGTGTTTCTTATTGTCTCTCTTGCCCTCTACCACCCTTATTCACCCTCACACTCCTCTCTGTCACTCTCTGCCCTGTGATTTTCTCCCTCTGTCCTCTGAGCCTCAGGACCCTTGTGATAGGGGTAGCACCAGCCTCATGACTGCCCAGCCTGCTGCAGACCAACAGGCCTGTGGGAACCACTAGCACCTCCAGCCTCCCTGTAGCTTTGTGGCCATAGCTCTCAAAGCCTGTCTGCTCCCCTGCCCCATAGGCCATCTGGGCCTTGGCCTCATAAAGAGGAGTCCCACTCCATCTGCCTTTCCTACCACATCCTGGCCAGAGAATGACGCTCTCTTTCCTCCTCCAGCACAAACTTGTGGGTGCTGCAGGGCCACAGGTCTTCTCCATGCAAAGAATGCATCAGCCCCACATCTCAATGCTGAAAACAGTGGTGACGCATGGCTGCAGAAATGCCCGTGATTTGCTCATGCCTCCAGGTGTCAACAGCCATGGACTGTCCCTTCCCACACTGTGACTGTGCATCTCACATGCCACTTGCTTTGACCAGTGGATCAGGAGCAAACAGACACAAGTAGAGACTTGAAGTGTGTCTGCCAATGGGGCTTGCCCTCCTGAGGAACTCAGGACCCTGTGACCTCCGTGCATGCAAATCCAGCCTAGCCTACTGAGGAGGAAAGACACGTGGCCTGGTCATCTCCATCACCCAGATGACAGCCAGCCATCCTGCCGGACATGTGAGTGAGGCCACCGAGGCCCAGATAGCTCCCAGCCCACCTCCCCCTGCTAATCCACCATGAAGCATGAGTTCATGCTTTATAGACATGCATGACATCGTCTGAGGCCAGCCCAGATTCAAAGGACTGCCTTGCAGAGTTATGAGCTAAAAAAATGTTAATTGTCTTCAGCCACAGTGTTTTGGGGTGGGAGGATCGTTATGCAGCAACAGACAACTGGTACACCAGCCCCAACCAGGATGGAGGGAATGTGTGGCACACCTGGACCCCAAACCAAGAGGAAGCAGCCCCTTCCCATTGCTTCTGCCATCAGCAGATGCCCCCAGAGAGAAAAAGTACTTACTGTCACATTTCATCCCCTGGTGGATGAGTCCATACAGCAGTGACCCACAGTGGTCACAAAACGTGGGACTGGAGTACGTGTGGATCTTAAACTTGTGTTTGCTCCGGGGATCCTGGAGCCAAGAGAAACAACAGAAGGAGCCAGCGTCAGTGGACCATGCCAAGGGTTCACCCTACATCGAGAGGCACTGGAGAACTCAACAGGGACTGAACTTGGTCCCCAGAGGTCATTGTACCTGTTGGGACCATTGCTGGAGCCCTGTGCCCAGACATGGTGCTGGATAAATAGTTGTAGAAGGAACGAAGGATAAAGACAGCTGACTGCTCCCTTTGCAGCCCCATGCACACTCACCCCGCCTGCAAACCTCCATCTGGGCCTGCCTGGGAACCCAACCTACAGGCTCCTGCCTGTAGCAGGGACTCCAGAGATGGGAAAACAAAGCGACAGACACATCATCTAAACAGGGCTCCCGACTTTTCTTTCTCACCACTTTTATTCTCCAAGCATGCTTCTGCAGTGATCAAAAACCCAAGTCTGGATGTGAAACCTCCCTGCTTAGAGACCACTGTCAGCTCCTCATCACTGACAGAATAAAGTTCAAAGCCCGATGGACAGTCCGTAAGTTGTGGCAGAGACTGCTGGTTTCCCACCAATATCCATTCTTCCCTTTAATAGTCGAACCCTCGAGTTTTAGCAGAGAGCATGGCTATCCAGATAGAGGCCACATTTCCCAGCATCTCTTGCAGCTTGGTGTGGCCATGGTGCTGAGTTGCAGCCAATGGGATGTGTGTGCTCCAGGGCCATTCCCTTCAAATGGAAACGCATACTTCCTTGCTCCTTTCCCTCTTCCCACTGGTTCAAAGATGGTGGGAACTGGAAGTGACCACCCTGGACCCAAACTTAGAGCCACAAGGGGGAAGGACAAAAGCACCCTACCAGCCTTGAATTTTGTCCCTTTGGGTTGACCCCTGAGAGAAAAACCTAATTTCTGCCTTGTTGAAGTCACTATGTTTTGGGGGCTATATCTCACAGAAGCTTACATAATTTCCTAATCAATAAATATGCCTGGCAGTGCAGGGCAGTGGTAAAAGGCAGACTTGGATAAACTTCCTGGGCTCTAAGCCTTGTGACTTTGAGCAAGTTATTTAACGGTTGTTTATTTTCTTTTGTTTTTTAAGAGACAGGGTTTTGCTCTGTCACCCAGGCTGGAGTGGAGTGGCACGATTATAGCTCACTGGAGCCTCGACTTCCTCGGCTCAAGTGATTCTCCTGCCTCAGCTTCCTGAGTAGCTGGGACTACAGGTGCATGCAACTATGCCAATTGTTTTTTTTGGAGATGGAGTTTTGCTCTTTTCACACGGGCTGGAGTGCAGTGGCACAATCTCGGCTCACTGCAACCTCTGTCTCCTGGGTTTAAGTGATTCTCCTGTCTCAAACTCCCGAGTAACTGGGACTACAGGTGTGCACCCCCATGCCCGGCTAATTGTGTGTATTTTTAATAGAGACGGGGTTTCACCATGGTGGCCAGGTTGATCTTGAACTCCTGACCTCAGGTGATCCACCTCCCTTGGCCGCCCAAAGTGCTGGGATTACAGGCACAAGCTACTGTGCCAGGCCTGCCCAGCTAATTTTTAAAATTTTTTTTGTAGAGAAGGCTTCTTGTTATGTTGCCCAGGCTGGTTCAAATTCCTGGTCTCAAATGATCCTCCTGCCTCAGCCTCCCAGATTGCTGGGACTACAGGTGCACACCACCATGCCCGGCTAATTTGATCTTTTTGTGCTTCAGTTTCCCTATCTGTAAAATGCTGATGGTGCTAGTGCTCTGCTTATAAGACTGTTGGGAAGCATAAATGAATGAATCTGTCTAGAGATCTTAGAACCACCTGGAACATAGCAAGCAGCATAAGCTTTTGCATGATTGTTATTACTACTTGTCCAAGGTGATCTCCAGCTAAGCCCCTCCTCCCACCCACCCACATGTGCACGTACTATGTACGTTCTCAGCACTCAGGGCGCACCCCCACTCCCAAACAGGCCTTAGGCCTTCGTAAGCCTTTGGCTCTGCATTTCTCTTTCTTCTTCAAGAGATTCTTTCTTCACAGAATCGGTTTTAGTTCAAGAGAACTCTTTCTGTAAAAGTTGCTTTCTCTGTTGTGTATTGCAGGCCAGGTACAGTGTCTCACACCTGTAGCCCCAACACTTTGAGAGGCCAAGATGGGAGGATCGCTCGAGGCCAGGAGTTCAAGACCAGCCTGGGCAATATAGTAAGACCCCCATTTCTACAAAAATAAAAAATTAGCCAGGTGTGGTGGCACATGCCTGTAGTCACAGCTACTCAGGAGATTGAAGTGGGAAGATCACTTGAGCCCAGGAATTTAAGGCTACGTGTGAGCATGGTTGCATCACTGCACTCCAGCCTGGGCAAGAGAGCAAGACCCTCCTTCTCTTTTTAAAAAAAAAAAAAGTACATGGCAGAAGTTAATAACTTGGGCCTCAGGATCCAACCCTGGGCTGATCTGACACCCTAGGCAGGTACATGCTACCCGTTTCTTCCTTCCTTCATTCATACATTCGTATGTATTTATTGATGCTGCCACAGATGCTTCCTTTAAAATTTGATTCTAATAACAGTGACAGAAAATGAAAATGTAAGCAAATAAACAGATACACTACATAGACATTCTTTTGTATGCTGTGAATGTGATGAGTGTTTCTCCTAAGGAAACTGTTTCTTTTCAAAATTTGAAATAATTCCATACTGTATTATTCTGCTTTCATACTGCTATAAAGAACTGCCCGAGATTGGGTAATTCATATAGGAAAGAGATTTAATTGACTAACAGCCAATTTTCTTGAAGTGCCGAGCGAAGGGGGACAAGCCCCTTATAAAACCATCAGATCACGTGAGAACTCACTCACTATCACGAGAACAACATGGGGGAAACGGCCCCCAGGATTCAATTGCCTCCACCTGACCTCTCCCTTGACACATGTGGATTACGAGGATTACAATTCAAGATGAGATTTGGGTGGGGACACAAAGGCTAACCATATCACATAACTACCAGAGTTGCTAAACTTTTGGAAAACTAAAACCAATGATATCAAGTGTTAGTGAGGAAAGAACATAAACTGGAACTCTCCTAGGACCCAGGAATCCTATTTTTCGGTGAAATGAAAACATCCAGGCCGGGCACAGTGGCTCACGCCTGTATCCCAGCACTTTGGGAGGCCGAAGAGGGCAGATCACTTGAGATCAGGAGTTCGAGACCAGCCTGGCCAACACAGAGGAATCCCGTCTCTATTAAAAATACAAAAATTAGCCAAGTGTGGTGGCACATGCCTGTAGTCGCAGCTACTTGGGAGGCTGGGGCATGAGAATCACTTGAACCTAGGAGGCGGAGGTTGCAGTGAGCCAAGATCGTGCCACTGCACTCCAGCCTGGGCAACAGAGCAGGGGGAAAAAGAAAAAAGAAAAAACCATATCCATACATGAAGGTTTATAACCACCTTATTTATAATAGCCCAGAACTGGAAACGATCCAAATGTTGTTCAACGTGTGAATGGATACGGTGTGAGGCATCCACACGGTGGAATACTTTTCAGCAGTAAAAAGGAATGAACTATTGGTACATGCAGCAGCATTCACGAACCTCAAAAGCATTCTGGTAAAACACAGATGTCCAACACAAAAGGCTACACACTGTGTGGTTCCATTTCTAAATGTCCTGAAAAACACAAAACTATGGGGACAGAAAACACCAGTGGTTAAAAGGGGCTGGAGGTGGAAAGGGAATTAACGACAAAGAGGCAGATGCAGGAACTTTTTTGTTTTGGATATTGGAGTGGTCCTATATTAACTGTGATGAATTTTACTTTATATTTTTAAAAGTGAATTTGCGGCCGGGCGCGGTGGCTCAAGCCTGTAATCCCAGCACTTTGGGAGGCCGAGACGGGCGGATCACGAGGTCAGGAGATCGAGACCATCCTGGCTAACACAGTGAAACCCCGTCTCTACTAAAAATACAAACACAGCCGGGCGAGGTGGCGGGCGCCTGTAGTCCCAGCTACTCGGGAGGCTGAGGCAGGAGAATGGCGTAAACCCGGGAGGCGGAGCTTGCAGTGAGCTGAGATCCGGCCACTGCACTCCAGCCTGGGTGACAGAGCGAGACTCCGTCTCAAAAAAAAAAAAAAAAAAAAAAGTGAATTTGCAGCCTGGCGCAGTGGCTCACACCTGTAATCCCAGCACTTTGGGAGGCCGAGGTGGGTGGATCACCTGAGGTCAGGAGTTTGAGAGCAGCCTGATCAACATGGTGAAATCCTGTCTCTACTAAAAATAAAAAAATTAGCTGGGCATGGTGGCCCGCCTGTAGTCCCAGCTACTTGGGAGGCTGAGATAGAAGAATTGCTTAAACCCGAAATCACGCCACTGCACTCCAGCCTGGGTGACAGAGCGAAACTCCGTCTCAAAAAAAAAAAAGAAAAAAGAAAAAAGTGATTTTTGCTAGACACAGTAGCTCATGCCTGCAATTCCAACACTTTAGGAGGCCAAGGTTGGAGGACTTCTTGAGCTTGAACCCAGGACTTTGAGACCAGCCTGGGCAACAGTGAGACCCTGTCTCTACCATATGTATGTATTAAAGCCAGGCATAGTGGTGCATGCCTGTAGTTTTAGCTACTAAAGAGGCCAAAGTGGGAGGATCACTTGAGCCCAGGAGTTCAAGGCTGCAGTGAGCTATGATCAGGCCACTGCACTCCAGCATGGGTGGTGTCTCAAAAAAAATTTTAAAAGTGACTTTTACCACAGGAAACGTATATCTCAATAAACCTGGCTGAAGAATCCTCAGCCACTGCAGGCTTTGGTTGCTTCCTATCTTCTTAATCAGCTACGAAGTTTCATGACACTCCCACCCTCTGCAGTCAGCAGATGAAGTACTGGTCCTTGCAGAGCTCTGGACAGCCAAGTTTGAGAGGCGAGGTCTGCTCTGCTTTGACCAGTGGGATGCCGTAGTGCTCTCAGTTGCAGAAGGACCCCAGTAATCACCCGTCCTGCGCAAAGATTGACGTGCTGTCCTAGTAACAACAACAGGGCTTGGAAATCCCAAGACAAA